GAGAGAGGCATGCTGCTCATCTTAAATCACATATTCTTGAATCAGGTTTCGCTGCCGCCAAAAAAAGAAGAAGCAACCAACGACACTTTCAAAGGGACCTCTTTCAGTGTCCTTGAGTTGGGTTCAGGCGCTGCCCTCCTTAAAAGACAAGCCCACGTCTTGTTTGGTCGCACGCCAAGCCTGGATGCTTGGACGGCGACATATCAAAAGCCAAAGGGCAAAACAAAGCTGAGTGCTTCGGTGGGCTTTGCCTAGGACAAACTTCAAAGGGATGGCTGAAAAACATATATGGGCTATGAATCTTGGAAGTGTCCTCAGAGATTCGGGCATAAATCGCCAGAAAAAAGAAGGAAAGCAAAAAAAACAGATGCTCACCCAAACGTCCAACCATTTCAAGGTCAGGCTCTCGACATGCGTGTTTTATTGCTTCTTGGGACAGGCCGAGTTCTTCACCAAGTCGCTGTGAGGCAGATGAGGCCCTGCGTCGGATCGGCGCGGCTTGGGACCTGAGGGCTGCTTCCCTTTCGACGAAGAGTACCCTCAAAACAACGCCCACATCCATGGGTGGATTTCATGTCTGGGAGCTTCTTTGTCTGAGAAAAGGACCCAAGCAGGAAACCTTCGGGTCTGGGCAAGGTCGCAAAGTGGAAGTCTCTGTGTGGGTGCTATGGCTCAAGATTGCCCTCCAGTGGTGAAATGAGAAGCACTGCGGCCACTCAACAGCTGAATCGGCTTTTCATTCGAGGTGTTGTATGAGATTCTTGTGGGACTACTGGCTGGGCGCAAACGAACAGGCTTACCCACCCATGACTCTATGCGGACCCCCGGGCCCCATGCTTTAGGGTGTCAACTGCGAACGGCTCTGCATTCAGCGCTCAGGCCAGTGGCACGGGCTTGAAGGTCGCCTGCTTCCTTGGGCTGCCTGAATCGGGCCTGGCAGTGGCCACAGGTGACGGAGATGCGGATATGCCCTTTGTGCATAGCTTGGGTGAAGGACATGACCCCGAAACCCCAAAACCCCGAACAGGCAGAGTGGGTTGGCAAGGGACCCACAGAACCGGCGCGACAACCAGGAACTGTCTAGTGTTGACCACGGATTCAAACACCCCCGGGCACGAAACTGGGCGTGTTCCCCCCTGATAAATCCCCACTCAAAACAGGGACTCCCCTTCCCCGTGTATTGCTAAACAAGGGCTTTGTTGCTATGGGGTCAACATGAAGTTGTACACATTTCATGACCCCTGACCCGGCCAAACCCGCCGAAGGCCGAAGGCCCACGACACGGCCCGCGGGTTTCTGCCTGCGCCACTTGGGCCGCAGCCTTCGCACCTCCTGGCGCAAAGCCTTGAGGTGCTGCCGCTCCTTCTCCAGCGTCGCCTTCGGTCGCAAGCGAACCGCCCGCGGAAAAATGGCGCGAGCTCGCGCAGAGTGGCCCGAAGGCTCGCCTTCTACACGGAAGCCCATGTGTTGGCGAGTCACAACCCTTGTGCGACATGGAGGGAACTTCTTGGAACCCCGTAGTACAGTAGCTCGTATGTAGGCAGTTCACCATCCCACGTCAAAGCGTAAGACGGGTTCCAACTTGCATCTAGTTCCATGCCGGAATGGCTGCAGCTGGGGTCCGACACACAAAATCTGAACATGTTTCAAAGGCGCCACTCCTCCTGAGCCGGAGCTGCCAAGCAACAGCTCATTGGTCCAAATGTGGGCGTGTTTCAGCACTCGAGGACATATCGACCGCGATTTCCTGTCTCACCCTTGCTGTCTTTGGCTTCCCTTGAAACCAGCTCAACAATAATTATCCTCCAAGAAAGGCCTCCTGTGTCACTGGCTGGATCCAAGCTCTTGCGGCTGGCCTGCGTCTCTTCGTTGCTGGCGAGGGCTTCCTGATGCTTGGCCTGGGCTCTGCGAAGCGCAGGTGCCCACCCAAGGGAAGCCATTCAACCGGGGAAGCCTCCTTTAGGGCTTGGTCTCTCATCCCAAAAAAGGCGCGAGGCGTTGTTGGGAAACCGCAATTTCTCGGTTCAAAGCTTGAATGTCGTGAGAGCAGCAATGGCCCGAATGCATAGCCAAAACTCTGAAAGTTTGGTGAGCTCGTCAGCCAGAGCTTTGGTCTTCCTCGGCAAAGACGCGCGACGGCAGTTCCAAAGAAGCACCAATGGGCCCCGCGCAACCCTGTCGCCCGGGTAGAAAACAGATTCCTCTTTGGTTGGTTGACCAGTTTGGAGAGAACAAGCGCGGAGTCAACAAGTGTGCGATGATCAAACCGCAGTTAAACTGGGTGAGATAAATAGGGGCTCTGGAACAACTAGCTAAAATACCGGACCAATCCCCTTTTGGTGCCCTTTTTCTGAGAAAACCAAGGCATTGTGGGCTACCACTGTATCAGGTAACCCTTAAATTGGTGGTTTGGATGGGTGGCTTGGGGCTTGAACGCCTGGTGCTTGTAGACGGTAAATAGGAAACCCCTCCTTAATCACCAAACCACCAATCCAACTCACTAACCAACTAGATACAAGCTGAGTGTTTAGCACCCAGAAAAACAAAACAATTAAAAAAGGTAAATAAATCTCGTGACACTCTGCTTCAGAGCCACTTCCTCTCCTCCAGCTGTTGCTGGAGCATTTGGCGCAGCGCTGCCACACGCATCTGGCAGACTCAATCGACGCCGGCTTCCCTCTTGACTTCGACCCTCATCCTCTTTGGGTTTTGGGAGCAAACATCGAGGTTGTCGGCGATTCAAACCGTTTAGGCCAGTTGAGGCCGAATGGGAATACACCCCCTCTCCCTCGAAGCCACCAATGCAAACTTTGTCATTGCCTGACTTAGCCATGCCCTTTTGGGTTCCCTCATTCTCCGGAACATGCCATCGAGATGCGATGACGGGAGCTAAAGGAAGCCGGCAGCAACAAATGGCTCAACTTCCAGCCAGTTTCAAACCCGTTGGGTTGCAACGGAGACGCGAAATGTCTCCAAGTCATTTGCATCCAAGAAAAGCTCTTGGTCTCTCACCTGCATTGTTCGGCCAAAGCGGAGTCAATCACTACTGAAAACTATTGAAAACTGGGGAGGGGGGAGGGGGGGCATTTTGGAATGGCTCCGCCTAAGGCCTTGGGAGGTGCACAAATGCTGAAGGTTACGCAGCGAGATCGGTCAAATTTCTGGTCTCATCTGCCTAGCACCACATTAGCTCGTGGCCACCATTGCCCCTTGACCTTGGAAGACAAGACTTGTCACATTTGGGAAGCTTTGCACTTGGCGTTGTTCGTTGCCCTTGGCTGGGGCGCAAAAACACTAACGTACGATTCACACAACCAAAAACAATAAGACACACGCACAAACAAACAAACAACCAACCAACCAAACAAACAAACAAACAAACAATCAAGACCAACACACGATCACACATGATCACACGCACATACACGCATGAGCTGGCGCTCGAACAGCATAAGCAACGCCCGCCTTAGTGCACTCCAATTCTTCCTCGCGCGCCAGCGCTTGCTGCCGCAATTGGTGAATGGGCCTTGGCCAAGCGAGAAACCTCGTATGGAAACCGTTTTGCGGGTTAGCCGGGGACGGGCCTTTGACAAACGCAATATGCTTCGAAACCGAGGATGTTTTGAGTATAGGGGACAGGAAAGTCAAGTGAGCCCCGGGCAAAAACGAAAGCTAGGCAAGGTTAGCATCTCGTTTTGTTTCAAAGCTGAAGTAGCTCGCAGCCCAAAAAGCTGGCCGAAAGCTAAGGCTGCGGCAGGTAGGGAAATTGGGTGGACATCGGGGAGTCCGGGCGGCCAGGATTGGAGGGGGAGCCCAGTCCCCAGTAGGCAGATGCTGATGCAGTGGTGGCAGACTGGGGGGACACCTGCGGCTCCTCCTTGGGCGCTTCCCCGTTGAGGACACGCACCTGGCAATTGGATACCCCAGAAGTTTGGTGAGCATTTTTGAGTCCCGAACCCAACTCACTGCCTGAGTGGGTCGGCCAGAGAGTCTCCAAACTCTTTACTTAGCCCAAAATGGGCCTTCCTCAACGCTATAAAGTCCAAGAACTCAGGGAGTCAGGCACGCAAAATGGCACCCTCATGTCCCATCGCCTCGTAGCCCGCTGCCCGCAGCTCCGGCTGGGGCAAGGTCCGGAAAGCGGGGGCGCGATGCAGTTGCTCCGAAACCCGGTCGCGCTCGCGCTCCGAGCGCAGCGCTCCTGTGCTGGAGCTGCGTGCAGTTGGCTGCGGGCTGTGCCCGCCGGCGGCGTCAGCGCAGCTGACGCCCGGAGGGCGCCAGGGCCGGGACTTGGGACGACGCCTGGAGCCCAGGCTGACATGTGCGCTGCCCGTGGTCTGGGTAAGCGTGGAGGTGGAAGATGCTGCTTCCGGGCTTGGCGCTGCATCCAACGCCGCTTCTGTGGTTTCGATGGCTATGGGCTCCTCTGGGATGAATGCGGGCTCTGCGCTTGGCTCCTCTGTGCTCATCGGCTCAGCTGGGTTGAACCACTCATCTGTGGTGTCGGCCATGGCTTGAAATCGAGGCTCGAAGACTACCGGATTCCACCAAAGGCGAACCTTCTGGCCTGAATCACCTAACGAATAGCAATACCGGCGATGTCACTGCCATCCTCCTGAGCCAGGGACGGCAACTTTCAAGGGAGCTTGGCCCTACCGCCGTGCGAACCAAGGGGCTACAATTCCAAGCCGGGCGATTCAGCCATGACGCTTGGCTGTGTCAAGCCTGGCAGCCATTGCTTCTTCCCCAGCTGGCCCCATGGAAAGGTGTGGTTCTCCACATGTGCTTCTCCGCACCTACTGACTGGTGCGAAGTGAACTTTCCCCTGCCACATCACCTGCGATTTGCTTGCTTCCATTTGGTTAAGACCCCTGGGAAACAATGACATACTTCCAGTAGTGGAAAAATCCTTTTAAAACCAACAAGGTGTTTTGTTTGCTTAAGACAATGGAAGCTTGAGGCTCCTCACCCCGAAAACCTTTCCGTGAGGTCCAAGGCACATCACGGCCGCGGCGCCAGCGCGGATGGCTGCCCTGGGCCGGGCTGAGGTGCCTTCACTTTGCCTTCGACGCATGCCACCTCAAAGGACCCACCCAAGAATTCAGTTTCAGAAACCTATTTGACCTTGTTAGAATTCTGTCGGCCCCCTGCACTTGGGCTCCCCCTTTCTCTGGTTCGGCAAGTTCACGAGATCACAAACAAAGGACGACACATGCGCCACATCTCTGGATTTTGACTCCTAGGTCCCATGTCCTACCACGTCATCCTGCGGCGATTTCCTAATCTTGTTGCCCCAGTCTAGGTGTCACTTCCCCATTCTTTCCAGAAATCTTTCTTTCTAGAAAACCACTAAAAACCTTGGGGAAATGGCGGCCGGTTCTTGGAAAAAAAAAGCAGAACGATGGCTAAAAAGAATAGGGAATCACCCAGAAAAAGTTGGCCTCCCAAAGCCGAAGCCCAAGCCCCAGCCACTGGGTCTGCCGGCTGGAAGGGCGGATAATACTTCTCCCAACCTCAGCGGGCAATTGCCTTAGGTTCTCGCAGTGTCCTCTTCAGGCCTTCCGAACACGAGCATCTTTGGCCAAAAAAGATAGGGGCCCGGAAATGCAAGACGTGTCATAAAATCTCAGGGCAAAAATATAAAGCGTCAACCAAACTCCTAGGCACGGCGCAAACCTCCATTTGCTTAAGCCTCCTGGAAAAAAATCCTGTAGTGATGGATTCCCTTTAAAACCAACAAAATCTCAGGGCAAAAATACATAACCTCAACCAAAATCCCAGGCGCCCGCCGCCGGTCGCAACTGTCCTCAAAGGTCCCACCTCTCCCCACTTGGGGGCGCCACGGAGCCGGGCGTCAGCGATGGAGTTGCTGGTGGTGCGTCGCGTCTCCTGACACCATTTGGGGGGCTTCGCGTCCAAAAATGGGTTGCCCTGGTAGATGGAAATAAGGACTAAACCAGCGGTCGGCGATAGGCACTTTGACCAGAGGAATTGGCAAGTGATTTGGGAATGTTCCCCTAGGTTTTGCAGATGGGCCGTGGCTTGTTGCGGATGTGGTCTTAGCTGCTGGCATGGACGACGGCCGCTCACAACATCTCCACAGGCACGGCCCTAAAACCGGGAATTTTCAGATGGTCCCGGCCTCAACCAAATGCAGGGCCCGACCCCGCACCCACTTCCATGCACAAACAGTACTTACTTGGGGTGGGCGGGGCTCACAAGAAAAAGCCTTCATTTGCTCAAAATGTGCAACTGATCTATCCCAATAGGGTGTCCTGTCCAAGAGTTTGAGCCAGAGCCCAAGCGTGTGGCTGTTCCCAGCGCAAATGTCGAATCGGCCCTTGATTTCACAAGTACCTGCCGGAAGACACTCCCAACCATAGGTGGCCTTTTGGAAAGAATAAATGGATGGGTGTCCCTGGCAAATGCAACCAACCCCCATCGAAACCAGCGGAACCCATCCACTTTTATCGACACGAACCTAAAAAGGACATGCTCTCAACTCTGGAGCTCATCCAACGCCTGATCGTTCAACACGAAGTGCTTCACAGCCGCGGCCACTCCGGCTTTGTCTTGCATTCCTCTGACCTTGGAGGCTCTTTTTTCTTTTTTCGGTACTCGAGACGCCGGGGGGGAGGGGGGAAAAAGAAAACGCTTTCAAGAAAAACGGCCGACGGAAAGCCCTCCGCAAGCTGCGGGGGTTGCAAAGGGTAAAAGGGCACTACTGAGGGACCTAGATTAATTCGAAAAGGGTGTCTCCGACCAGGCATTTAGTTCGCGCCGGGTACATACCCACCCGTGTGTTTTTTTGCGTGTCTTCGGTTTTTGTGCTTGAATTCTGAGGCAGTTTGGCAAACGTGCATCTTTGTGGGTCTTTGAACATCCCGGTAACTAACTCATTTCAGAGTAAAGCCGCGCATTTTTTGTTCTAGTCAGGACACATGGCAGGGAGACGTGGGCTGCCAGAAGCCGGGATGTCCTATCCCAGTGGAACTTGAAATCCGCCGCCTTTGTGGACTGCGTTGTTTGTTGTTTCGCTTGAGCGGGTGCACTTGAGCGGGTGTTCTTACCATTTGGCATGCGTGCGTGCAGCGCAAAGCGGGTGCACTTCAGCGAGTGTTCTTACAATTTGGCAGCGCAAAGCGGGTGCGCTTCGGCGGGTGTTCTTGCCATTTGGCATGCGTGTGTGTGCAGCGCAAAGCGGGTGCACTTCCGGAGGTGTTGTTACCATTTGGCATGCGTGTGTGCAGCGCGAAGCGGGTGCACTTCAGCGGGTGTTCTTACCATTTGGCATGCGTGTGTGCAGTGCTGAGAGCGGATGCACCTCAGCGGGTGTTCTTTCCATTTGGCATGCGTGTGTGTGCAGCGCAAAGCGGGTGCACTTCCGGGGGTGTTGTTACCATTTGGCATGCGTGTGTGCAGTGACCAGCGGGTGCACTTCAGCGGGTGTCTTTCCATATGGCATGCGTGTGTGCAGTGCGGAGCGGGTGCTCTTGAGAGGGTGTTCTTACCATGTTGGCGGGGGTAAAAAACCCACTTTGACTTGCGGGTGGGTAAATACCCGGTACCATTTAGTTGCCATAGGCCCGAAAAGCCTGCCTGAGGGTTTTGGGAATGAACCGTTTGGGACTTCCCTCAAAGGAACCATAGTGGTGTTTTTCTTTCGGGGTCATAAAATCCAAAACCTGGTGTTCCAATGGTTCAACCCAAAGCCGTGCAAAGAAATAATTCACAAGGCGGCGAAGGCACCCAAATCTAAGGGTTTTTCACTTGAACCATAGCCAAAAACATATTATAAGGCACCCCAAAAAAATGGCTATGACGGCGCCCAACTTTTTGCCGGTTCTCCCCCGCTCCTTCCAAAATATGGCCAGCCCTGCCCTCTGCTTTTTCCTCTCCCCGAACTTTTGATGTTTGAACCAAGCCATAGGTGAGCTTCCGCCCTCGGTTTTCCGAGCTTCCGGCAAAGGCCGCTGCCAGCTCCCGGCCCAGAACGGTGTCCTGTGGCTCGAATGTTGCCAAGAAGCCAAATGGACGAGGATGACTCCCAAGTGAGTCACAATCAAAACCCGGTATTAAAATGGTCAACCCAGAACCACGTAACGAATTAAGAAGGCGGCCGGCGGCCGCAACTATTTCTGGCTGGGACTGCCCCTTACTTCCCGGGTTTTGATTGTGGCTCAAGTGATGTCAACCAGGCCCTGGGCCCTTAAAACGGGAACCCACCAGAAGCTTCAAAGAATCCTGGTCAAAGCATGTTTGGCTCACTTCCTGAGTGGATTAGCCAAAAACAGTGCACCATACATTTTTGTTCACCAAAATTCTAAAAAATGGTCCCAGATAGTTTGAAAGTCCAGGAACTCAGGGAGTGAGTTGGTGGATGGGTGTTACTGTTTGGGACAAATGTGCACCAACCGTGGTGGATTGTTTCCAACAAAAGACCATAGCCAGGACCTTGTTAACAGCTGCATGTTGAATGTAGCTAAGGCCCAAAGTTGTCCCCACGCTTAAGCCTCTTCGCACAAGAAATCAGCCTAGAATAGCTCCAATGCACCCGAAGGAAAAAAAAACGCTACCCCGTTTTGCAGGAAACCAATGCCTCAAACAAACCAAAACCCAAAAGCCACGAACCTATGGCTGTCTGGCCTCCTAAGACCTCCTGGCTGCGCGCCTCACCCGAAATGAACTCGGCATTGCGGCCGCCGTAGGGGGTCTCAGCGCCGGCTTTTGTTGGAACTGAGGTAATGGTTGAGAGGGATAGCTGGGAGCATTCCTACTCAACTGTCAAACTGTCAGGGAGAACCAACAAGTGCGTTTGCGAGAGTTCAAATGCACCGAGCAAGTTTTGGAAGCGCGGAGGTTTATTGAACGCGAACAGTTTTGAAGGCCATTGTTCAATGGCTTGAGCAATGCTTGGCAAACAAGCACACGCAGCACATGGCTTTGCTGCATGGTACCACCCTCCAAAGTGACTCCCGGGGCTTCCAAACAAGCTGACCGTCATGAAAAGCGATGTCAGTTCAGCCCCCGTCATGTGGGTGGCCTTGTGCCCTCACGAGCAAGTTACAATTTGGAGCGATGTCACGGGCCACAGGATCACAGAACGTGTTGGAGCCGCACTTTCGCCAAAAAACACAAGCGATGGAAGTGACAAGATACCCCTCTCTCCCCCCCCACTCTCTCTCTCGCTCCCTCTCTCTCTCTCTCTCTGTTTCTTTCTCTCTCTGTCTCTCTCTCTCTCTCTCTCTCTCTCTTTCTCTCTCTGTGGAAATCTGATCCAGACTTTTGATGTGTGTGTATGGCTGGCTGCCTTTCAGATCTTATCTGCCCAATCACCAGCCATGCACAGGGCTGCGGCCCTATGCAGGTTCACCGCCGGAGCCAAGATCATGTTCGCACCCTGCCAATGCTGCCATTGTGCCCACCCGCACCCAAAGCAAAACAACTTAGGCCAACAAGCAGCGAATTTCCTGCTGTCTATGCAACAAGTCTGAATGTTGATGATGCTGCTTGTTCTAACACGCTATTGTAACATGGTCTATTTGTGTGTAGATGGTCTCTACCATGGTATTGTAACATGGCATTGTAACATGGTCTCAACATGGTGTTGGCATTGAGTTGTGTCCATGCTGATGTTGGCGTTGCCGATCCCAAAGCTCAGATGTCGCCTTGTCCCGAAACTCCCTGCCCATGGCTTCTGCCTCAGCCGGCCGGGTGCTGGGATTCCTGTCAGCGTTCGGACCTCTGTGGCTCACAGCCAGGGCCATAACCAGCACCAGCCTTGCGAGCGTGAATCAAAATGAATCAAACAAGCGGCAGCAACAGAACCACCAGCATGGCACGAGCTTTTAGCCCAAAGCCCCCGCAACACCCCACGAGCTTTCAGCGCGGCAAGAGCATGGCAGGAGCTTCAGCACAAAACCTCCCACCCAGCAAACTGCAGCATCACCAGCACACAAAACTCTGACATGTTCTGTGCTGAAAAAAGCCCCATGAGCAACCCCAGCACCACAGCAACGCCTTCTGCTCATCAAATAAGCCTAGACAAGCAAACCCTTTGCAACAGCTTTCCGCACAATGCTGGCACTTGGCCCACCTGACTCACCTGCGCGTGCGTGCTTGGGTTCGGGCAAATATGGGTCACTCGCATGGACGTCGCTCACGCATGTGCTGCCATAGCAAGTGGCACACGCGCACCAGTGACTCAAGTGGCAGCAAGTGACCCAATCGACCCAGGTGACACGTGTCAAATAATGTTATCTCGATTCTTTTGACCTAATTTATCCAAGTGGCGCATTTCAAGTGACCCCGATGTAAGATCAGATTGCGCCCAGCCAGCCCCGGCCTTCTTCTTGAAAAAACAACCGGTGCCCTCGCCATCCGCATGAGTTTTTGCTCATTTGTTTACCGACTGAAACAATGCCTCGCTGTCAAAGGGGTATCAATCACCAGGTTCCCTCACTCGAATTTTGGCCTCATCGCCCTGAGTGCAGCGCCCATCGCTCCACCAAATTGGCATCCCAAGTGGCCGACAGAACCAGCGGTGCTGGCCTTGGCAGTCTCAAGGCAAGCAACAAGTGCTTTGCCCAGAACCTGCGGGCGGAAAACAAACATGCGGTTGATTCGTTGTTGGGTCTTGCAAGCATCTGGCAACACAAGCGGGGTTCCATTGGCGGGGTGAATCGGATGCTTCGGTGTGGGCGTGCGGCAAGCCAGAAGAGACGGACAGCTACAAGCAGGGGTTTGGAGCAAACGATGCCTCAACAAGCCTCTATGTGTATACATGTTTACAAGACAGAATGCCGTGTACATATGCATCTATACGTATAGTACCTATGCAGTGTATATCTCTATATATATGTAAATAAACAAATATACATACACACACACACACATATATATATATATATGTACATACTCACTCACACTGTAGCGCCTTCTGAGTTTAGCTGCAGCCCACGCTCGCCATCTCACAGAGCGCCAGGCCAGGCCGTGACGGTTCCCGCAATATCCTGAAGCTTACGAGCTTGTGGTGTCTTAAAATTTTGGGACCTGCCACAAAATGGCCTCGTGGTTTCCCTTCAAACCACCGAAGCAGTCCAGCAGTTTGAGACCCATGTGTCACGATGTGCGTCTTATCTGGTGCGATAGGTAGGGGATGTGATAAACGGAGCCTCCAGATTGATGGTTTATGGCGGGGCCGTTCCAGTTCTCATTCCCTGCTGAGCACCAGCGAGTGAACATAGGGGACAGGAAGAGAATGGCTTGGGTCCTTGTGGTTTCCTTTCACAGTGTCACACCACCTCCCCAAAACAAGGTCCACCCAAAAAGTAGACCCACCCACGTGATGGTTTCATGGGAAGCTTTGCTTCCCATGGGCTTAGCTTTGCTTCCCATGGGCTTGGCGTGATGGGTAACCCTCTGCCTCGAATGGACATCTCTCAATGGCGCAAGTGGCCAGCGCAGTCCTTCTGCGTTGTTCGGAATCCTGCCGACCCATCCTGACATGGCGCCCAAGGACACAATCGTTGAACACAAACACCATATCATCCCACACACGGGCACCCCATCAAACCCAATGTGGCGAGCTGGCGAATGCCATGCTGAGAACATTATTTGAGAAGAAAAAAAACACATGCAACAAACAAGCAGTTAGGTCCTCCAATAGGGAGGTTATAATAAGTTATAAGGGTACCCTTTTTTCCGTAGCCTGTCTTAGTAGGGGGACGCCCCCCCCCAAGAAAGGGTAGAAGGGCACTACTGGGAAACCCAGGTTGCAGGTGTGGAGATTTTGTTTGCTTGGGATTGTGGGGGGATGCGCGGCCTGATTCACTCAGGGCTCCTTAACTGCAATGAAACGGCAGGCTGCCACAGTGAGGGGGTAGCTGTCCGCCATCCTCCAGTATCATTCAGCTTCCCTCTAACTGGTGGTTTGGAGCCCGGTGGTTTGGTGGTGAATTGGAGTGGTTTGACATTTGGCCTCTAAACCAGGGTTTCGAATCCCCAATGCACCAATCCAAAGCACCAATTCAGGGGAACCCGAATCATGGTGTCACGAACAAACAAACAAGCCTCAGCGTCAGCAGCAACCCTCCATGCGTATGTGCGAGTCCTTGTGTCTGTCTCTGTGTCCCCGTGCATCCGTGTCTGCATGTGAAACTCTCGGTGTGCATCTGGCTGTGGGTCTGTGAGTCTCTGCATATGTGTCCGCGCATCTGTCTTTCTGTGTCTGTGTGTCTGCCTGTCTCTGTGTCTTCTCTGTATCTCTGTGTCTGGGTCGGCGTGTCTGCGTGCATCTGTCTCTATATTTGTCTGTCTGTGTGTCTGTGTGTGTGTGTGTCTGTCTGTGTGTCTGTGTGTATGTGTCTCTCCGTCTGTCTCTCTGTGTCTCTGTCCGTCTCTCTTTGTCCGTGTCTGTCTCTCTTTGTCTGTGTCTGTCTCCCTCTGTGCATGTTCGCGCGTGGGTGCTTGTGTGTGTGCGTGCGCGTGCGAGTGCGGGTGTGTGGGTGCGGGTGTCCAGGTGTGCGTGCGTGCGTGCGCGTGCGTGCGTGCGTGTCTGTGTGTCTGTGTGTGTGTGTGTGTGTGTTTGTCGGGTGCCCTTTTTCTCCACTTGAATACGCAGGCCTTTGCCCTTGATTGCCAGCTTCGCAGCTTGGTGTATATAGAACAATCCGAGCCTCGTGTTGCCAAGTCCTGCTTGGCTGCTTGCCCCCGTGGCAAGCCATGCAAGCTATGAAGCTAGGCAGAAGATGGCAGAAGCAGCTAAAAAAAAGGCACATGGGTTTCATGAGCGTACCACGTGCACCGGTTCTGGCGGAAAATGCCACAACTGACGGAGTGCGTTCGAGCGCATTCCCAGTCAGACATGACATTTGGTCAAGGGTTGGCACTGGTTGCTGGTTAAGGGGCTACTGACGTTTCTCATGTCATTCTAGAGCAAGGCTGCACAAATTTACTGAAGTCTGGTGGCCCTCCAGTTGCCGAGGAACAAGCGGCTCAAATTGGCAAGCCGCCTTTCGCGCCTGGAAATCCCAATCGCCGAAGCGGCTGACTGTTCATCTCAAACCACTCACGTGCCAAACACGTCGAAACAGCAAAATGGGATCACTTCGGCAGCGCTGGCAAATTGCAAGAGGGCCATCCACGCCTCCCAGTCCCAACCAAGCCAAACCTCGCCTAGCGAAATTCTTCGGAACAAGCGATTACAACGGTCACTTAAAGGATCTGAGCGCTCTGAGCCTGCGAACCTGGACGACCAATCAAGCAAGTGTGACTCACCCTTGGAAGTCCATTTCTTCCATGTCTTAAGCAACATGAGTGCCAAGTATATTGCATTCTTTTTTGCAGGCTCCTTGCGGCAAGCTCGAATTTGACCGTCGGTCCCTTGCAGCTTTGCGCAGTGCCACCCTAGGCGAAGCAAAAGTGCTAGAAAGGAGTATTCAGCTTTGCCTATGCATCCCTACCCTGTTCATCTCTCATCTCTCCTCTTGGCCCCCTTAAACTTTTCGGTTTGCGCGGAAGCTGCAATCCATGGGGCAGCTCTGCAAGCGGCACTGCGGCCAGATTCGCAAAGCTACCAACCTTATGTTACTTTTCCGCCAGGGCAAAGATTGCGGCCAAGATGTTGGCTATTTCCGCCCAAGACCAAGGTGCATCAACCAAAAAGGAGCACTCAAGATCATTCCAGCCTGTGGGCAAAAAGTCAGAACGACACCGATTTTTGTTTAATAAAAAAGACGCGGCTATCCAACTTCGGAACGAGCTGAGTCTGATTGTTGCATTTATTTGCAACTCGCTGCGGCATCGTCCGATTCCGAATCTACTCAGGGCCGGCCTTTCACTCACCAAGCCACGCCGGAGTGGCGGCGATGCTTTGCAACGTAAAAAAGGCCTGCCCCGATTCTTTTTCCTGTCCGGCCTGACTCGGCCTCACTCGCCTCACCTCACCCGGTACACCGCCATCATCACCCGCGGGTTGAAATCCACGACCCTCCCACGGTGCCCCTTGGGCCGCGGCGGGTCTGAGGCGTCCCGCATGGTGGGCAGCAGGGGCCAGGTGCGGCTGGGATCCATCTCCTCGGACTCGGCGTCCGAAGGCACCTCGAAACAAAGGAAAACACCAACAAAATAGTGGGACCCTCCTGGACATAGGTGACCTTTTGGTAAAATAGATGGCCCTGGTACATGAAATGAAACCCACATAAACCAGCGCCATCTATTTCAAGGCAAACTCACCTACAAAGCACACCTATGCTCCTGGATTGCCACTCTGACTGTTTTGAGGGCAAAGTGCCTGAAAAAAGCAGCAACTTGGCGATCCAGGCTACATCAATCACGAGGTGAGCTTGATTTTCCGAACCCAGCCGCCGGCTTCCCATGGTATGTCTCAACGGGTTGGTTGGTTGGTGGGTGGGTTGGTTGGTTGGTTGGTGGATGTTGGTGGGTTGGTTGGTGGGTTGGTTGGTTGGTTGGCTTGTTGGTTGGTGAGTTGATTGGTTGCTTGGTTGGTTGGTTGGTTGGTTGGCTGGCTGGTTGGTTGGTGGGTTGCTTGGTTGGCCGCTTGGTTGGTTGGTTGGTTGGTTGGTTGGTTGGCTGGTTGGTTGGTGGGTTGGGGGGTTGCTTGGTTGGCCGCTTGGTTGGTTGGTTGGTTGGTTGGCTGGCTGGCTGGTTGGTTGGTTGGCTGGTGGGTTAGTTGGTTGGTGGGTCGGTTGGTTGCTTGGTTGGTTGCTTGGCTGGTTGGTTGCTTGGCTGGTTGGTTGCTTGGCTGGTGGGTTGGTTGGTGGGTTGGTGGGTTGGTGGGTTGGTGGGTTGGTGGGTTGGTGGGTTGGTGGGTTGGTGGGTTGGTGGGTTGGTGGGTTGGTGGGTTGGTTGGTTGGTTGGTTGGTTGGTTGGTTGGTTGGTTGGTTGGTTGGTTGGTTGGTTGGTTGGTTGGTTGGCTGGCTTGTTTGGTGAGTGAGTTGATTGGTTGCTTGGTTGGTTGCTTGGCTGGTTGGTTGGTTGCTTGGCTGGTTGGTGGGTTGGTTGATTGGTTGGTGGGTTGGTTGGTTGCTTGGTTGGTGGCTGGTTGGTTGATGGGTGGGTTGATGGGTGGGTTGATGCGTGGGTTGATGGGTGGGTTGGTGGGTTGGTGGGTTGGTGGGTTGGTGGGTTGGTGGGTTGGTGGGTTGGTGGGTTGGTGGGTTGGTGGGTTGGTGGGTTGGTGGGTTGGTGGGTTGGTGGGTTGGTGGGTTGGTGGGTTGGTGGGTTGGTGGGTTGGTGGGTTGGTGGGTGGGTGGGTGGGTGGGTGGGTGGGTGGGTGGGTGGGTGGGTGGGTGGGTGGGTGGGTGGGTTGGTTGGGTTGGTTGGTGGGTCTTGGTTGGTGGGTCCTGGTTGGTGTGTTGGCGAATTGCTTGGTTGGTTGGTTGGTGAATTGCCGGCTGGTTTGTGGGTTGGTGGGTTTGTTGGTTGGTGGGTTGGTTGGTTGGTTGATTGGTTGGTTGCTTGGTCGGTTGGTTGGTGGCTGGTTGGCTGGTTGGCTGGTGGGTTGGTGGGTTGGTGGGTTGGTTGGTTGGTTGGTTGGTGGGTTGGTTGCTTGCTTGGTTGTTTGGTTGGCTGGCTGGTTGGTTGATGGGTGGGTTGATGGGTGGGTTGGTGGGTTGGTTGGTTGGTTGGTTGTTTGGTGGGTCTGTTTGGTGGGTCGGTTGGTTGCTTGCTTGCTTGGTTGGCTGGCTGGTGGGTTGGTGGGTTGGTTGGTTGCTGGGTTGCTTGGATTGCACAATTGCAGCGGGTGTGAAGTGCAGGCAATTCACATCCCGGTTGGATCAGGCAATTCACATCCCGGTTGGATATCACAAGTTTGCGTCAAACTTTCACGAGTCCGCAATGTCAGCTCATTCTACCTGAGTCTTGGGCATCTACCAAAAGAAGTCGCGCGAAGTCGAACCCCAAGCCGCCCAATCTACCAAAACAAAACAAAAAGCGCGCGAAGTCAAACCTCCAAACCTCCCGTTTTGCCGGGGGCTCCTCGTGCGTCTCTCCCGTCTCGGCGTGTTGCACAGACTTCTCAACCTCCTCGCCGTGTGACGAGTGCCCCTGGCTGAAGCCCTCGTACCGGGGTGAGGACCCAAATGAACCTTAATTGACTATATGAATTTATTCATGAAATTGATTAAGTCATGCATTCATGAACTGGTAACACAAATAGGGAGGCTCCTCAGATACAATTATTACCTTCCCCCGCTTGACCCTTGCCACGCATTACCGGGCTGTCCCTGTGTCCCTGTCCTGCGTGAAAAGGCTGTGCTCCAAAAAGCAGTCATCCTCTGCCTTTCTTGGCACAGCGCAGTCGGAGTCCTGCGAATCGAACGGATCCACCAACGGAACCGAAAGTTGGAGTCGCTGTTGGTGTTTGGGTCCTCCGGTAGAGAGGTTAGAACAAGGGTATCCGATATTTTTCTGTAGTCTATTTTAGTAAGGCCTCCCAACCAAAAAAGGGGTGAGAAAGGGCACCTAGCTGGGGGACTTGGTTGGGCAAACAACGGGCGTCTTCGTTTGGGCAAGCAACCCGGGGAGTCTGTCAAGACTTGGCTCGATGCGCTGCAGTTCACAGGTTACACTCCGTGCACATCCCGCACCTGGCGCTGAACTTCATTAGTTCATAGCGGCGCCTTTTTTGCGCCCCATCTGTGAGCTGCAGGATTGGAACTGGATCAAAGCAAGATGCAGTATCCACTTGCCCAAAGGACCTGGAAGAAAAGGTTAACCTTTTGGGACCTGCACTAAAAATGGACCAAAATTGGAAAACCAAAAGGTCACAAGGTCGATTCGCTTTGGGCAAGTGAGTCCAGGATAACTTTTGCATGCGTATCTCGCCACGCAAAAAACAAAAAGCGGAGGGATCTAACAAGCTTGTGCCGGAGCTCTGCTGCTTGCGAGCTTGCGGGCGTGCGGCGCTCCAACAAATTGTCTCAAACCGAGAAGATCAAATGCTGATGTACAACACTTTGTTGCCACTGGTTTCGGCCTCTTTGCAAGCAAGCTGTCAGTTGTCATGGCAGCACATAATTGTTCCAAACGTGACAGTGCCCAAATGCCTTGTGGACAACCATTTTGGAGAGGAATCCTGTGCACTCCCACGTTTTGAAGGCAATTCAGGATCCCTTCACCTTGCTGGTTCTCTGAAGCGAACGAGGGAATTCGGAATGACCCCGGTGAATCGTCCTTTCATGCTCCTCAGCCGAATCCCCAGGTCCCAAAAATCCCGAATGCTAGGTCCTCCAGCAGAGAGGTTAGAATAAAGGTAGCCTTTTTCTGTAGTCTATTTGAGTAGGGGAACCCTCCCCCAAAAAAGGGTGAAAAAGCGCTACTAGGAAACCGAGCCTGAAGTTCAACTTGGCTTTGCCAGCCCTTCCTCGTCGTCTGATTCCGCTGCCGTCGTGGCATCGCTGACGCCCCGGCCGAAGCCGCTGCATGCGTTTGCCAGGTCCTCATCGCACGACTAAGAACCACTCGCTACGAAACTGTTCCCTCCAAGCTGCATGCTGCAAGCAATCCAACCACAACTCACTAGCAAAAATGCCGGGTTTGCCTTGTCCCTTTCAATATGTTGGGACTCGGGACTTGAACACTGAAACAGGGGTTCACTTAAAAATGTCCTGACCTCAGCCTGGGCAGAAACGACACGCCGAACCCCACTAACCATCAACTAACCAGCTCTAGGAGTCGTCTTGCCCCTTTTGATGGACACGGTAAGGTATGTACTGTGGACTTTTTGGATTTACCTGGAAGACCGTACCACTTTCGGTGGCCCTCTTGGAAGGGGAATTTCTCATTCTACCAGGCCCTGCGGTTCAACATGATCCTCCGGATTGATCCCAAGCTAACTCCTAAACTTTGACAAGCCGCGAGCTCGTTGAGAAACTTGGTGCCAGCGCTCATGGCGGCGACCGGTGCAGTGGGGGCGTGAACTTCTACTTGGAGCCAAAGCCGCTGCGCCCGGGTGGTGTTTTTGTTTGCCGAGGATTCGGCGGCCGGCACTAAGCTGCCGCATTTGAGAGGTTCTGAAAACCACGCCACTGTGCACCTGTTGAAAACACCACCGTCAACATCCCCAGCATCGTTGACCCCCAGCAGCTTTAGGGCAGGGTTGGGGTGTGTTTAGTTGTGGCTTAGGCTGGGTTTGTTGTTGTTTAGGGTTGGTTTGGGGATGGCAAGTAAGGGCGTGCCTAGGGTTTGTTTAGGGTTGGCTAAGGGTGGATGTTGGGCTGTTTAGTTTTAATTCAGGTATTGGTTTAGTAGGATGGGTTTAGGGCTGGTTTTGGGTGGGTTTGGGATTCGGGGGAGCTGGTTTTAGTGGGGGTTTAGGGTTGGTTTAGGGTGGTTTTTGCCAGGCTTAGAGATAATAAAAAAAAGTTTGTTTATGGTTTGTTTAGGTTAAGGGGGGTTTTGGGCTGGGGTTGAGGTGGATTGCGGTTGGTTTAGAGTTGGTTTAGGGTGAGTTTAGAGTTGGTATCAGGTTTGCTGAGGGGTTGCTTCGGGTTGGTTTAGTGTGGGTTTAGGGCTGGTGGTTTTTGGGATGGTTTGAGGCTGGTGTGGGGTGGATTTAAGGTTGGTTGAAGACTGCTTTAGGGTTGCTTTGGGGTTTCTTCACGGTGGGTTTGGGTGGTGATTCAGAATTGGCTTGGGAACAGCCAACCACCAAAAGGCACACACAACTCGCAAAAAACAAACCAGGAGAAAAACACAATAATAAGACACAACAAAAACTGAGCTCGGTTGCTTTCTGCTCCCCTGCTAAAAGTTTAACTGTTCTTGTTTTAATGGAAAACCCATCAGTTGGCAAAAAGTTAAAGTCCTAGCATCCAAGCAAAATGCACCAAAGTTAGAAAACTGCACACCAATGAGAGAAATGTATGCACCCCGTTGATCTAGGGTGGTGCGTGAAGGCTTGGCATTCGGGCGGCCAAACCCACCCACGCGATTCGACCTGCGACCCTGTCACACGCCCTCGAAAACTAGGACGCAAAGAACGGGACGACGCACAACATCGCACGAATCGCTACATGTCACAACCCCATCCAGATTTCCAGCACGCATGGCCAAATATTCGAGGAAGCGGCGTCCAACCGAATGAAAGCCCAAGGATTTCCGCACCTGCATCTTGATGCACGGGATCCCGAGACGAGGCACCCCCAAAACCTCAGCGCGCAAGCCTGCAGCAAAACAAGCTCGAGTCGAGCCGTTGGAAAGCAAGGCCCTCACCCCATCCAATAGTTCAGAACAAACATTCTTGAAACCCAAATGGGGCTCGGCCTCAGTGATTCGGGTGTCCAAGAGACTAAAAAGGATGGCGCCCAAGGACAACAGCAGGTCTAACAACAACTAGACTGGGCTGCCCATTTTCCTTTTTGTCATGCTCGCCTTACAAACAACATGTTGTCAGGCCAAAGTGACCTGTATCGTCTGGGTTGGGGCCGTAACCTGAGCTCAGTCGGAGAATATTGGAACATATCAGGAGAACAAAGCGTCCAGCACCTTTAAGCGCAGGTTGAATGCCAAACATGGCCACATGTTAACCTAGTATTGTGGCCCCATGTTAACATGTTTTATGGGACAGGCCTGAAAAAGCAAATGCTCAATATTAATATGTTCAATCAAGACCGGGGGATGATTAGTACAGCGGCTTAAGAAGGGCTGAGTTTGTGTGGGCACCTCCATAACTCACTCGCAACTTCGTCATGTTGATATGCATTTCCGTCTGACTCGTAACTGGTTGCTTGTTGCTTTGATGTCTGTCAATTTGTCGGATTGGTTTTTGCAGGCAGCTGTTGGGCCGCAGAACCTCATGCTGATACCTCTGTATAAAAGAAAGGCATGGCCCATGCAGCACGGCGGCACATTAATCAGACATGCAGCGCTGCCGATGTAGTAGCCGCGTTTTTCTTTGAAGCCTCACACCCAGTGGGCTGACAAAGTTCTGAAGTGGTTGGGGGGCAGGACGCGGTGAGCTCGAACAAACTAAAACATGCGCCTTCCTTCTGAACAGTCCCATGCACAAAATTGCACGAGGGAAGTGGTCTTAGTGCCACTCTGACCTGTTGAAAGTTTGCGTGGCACAGCCTCGGTCACCAATCAGATTTTCCCATCTCCCCTCTTGAGCCATCACAGAAAGGAACAGCAAAAGGTGACGTTGAAACCTGCCAAAGCAGCAAAAGCGGCGACCAAGATTCACGCGCTCAGTTGGCAAAATAAGGACCAAGGTAAACCCAGTTCCGCAAAAGTCCAAGTTCCGCAAACCATTTGACCTTCGACCTTTGAGGGGTAAGCCCAAAACTCAATGGGGTAAACCCCTCATTTGACCCACCTTTGACCTTCAACTAGCGACCAATTGGTCGAGGCGGTTTCTTCCGGGCTGAGACGCCTTCGAAGCCGATGCCGCGGATCATTCGGTACTTCTCCTGCGGATCGAGGCGTAGGCCATCCCCAACCAAAAGGAACGAGTGGTGGAGCTGTAAACGTCGTACAAAAGGGGTGCATGGCTGGTTTACGTATGTTTATGTGGGGTATAACCAGGGGTAAACTTATATGCTGGTTTATATAGATGGTTTCTCTATGCTTATAAGCTTATACGTTTGTATCTGGCGTAGATTTGGGGGGGTCGACCCTGAGGCTACGACTCTGGAGCCCGTGATGTGCCTATGAACAAGCTCACGCCCGGCGCTCGCGACATGTGCACCGGACCTCGATCGTCATCTTCTTTACCAGGTTCTTTGCCCAGTCTGCGGTGCTGCTTGGCTCCTTGGTGAATCAAATCAAAGCCAACGCTTGCACCCCGAATCCCGCAGCAAGCAACCCCAGCCAACTGACCAAGGCCCCTTCCCTGCAAAGACTTCCCTTGAACTCCCGAAACGGCAGACCAGGAAGCCAACAGGGCATGTTTGACGCCCGAAAAACAAACACACGTACACACACGCACGCGAGCTTCCAGCCTCTGGGACGGGCATGGCATGTTCTTGGCAAAAGCCAGGAGGAAGGCCATGAGCGCCTGGCGATCACCCCTCTCAGTTGCCTAAAGGATGGGACCCAGGCATAAAAGGGATCAGCCTTTGGGACCTTTACTCAGAATGGTCGCCAAAAATGGGAAACCAACATAGGCCAGATCTGGGGGACCTGAAACCAAAATCACCTTTTGGGACCTTTATATAGGTCAGATCTGGTGGATTCGCTTTGCTTTTGGGACCTTTACTAGAAATGATTGCAAAAAATGGGAAACCAATATAGGTCCGATCTGGTCGATTCGCTTTGGGCAAGCAAGCCCCCGTTCTGTGTGAACTCCGTGTTCCGGCTAGCATGGGCTCGCCTGCCATGCGGGCAACTTCCGAACTGCGGCGTCTTGCAACACGCAACTGATTTTGTCAGTCAGCAGGCATTCCAACTGTCTCCGGACGTTGTGCATTGTCCTTCTCCGGTGCCGGGCAGGCAATAGAAACTTGCAGAGCGCTGAGCCAAATCCAATCCTCAACTGCGAAACACATGCGGCGCCAAGACCACATAGACTTCACACCGATGCAACATGAGGTCGAGTTGGCGGATTGCATGAGGCGGCCCTGCCGAATTGCGTGCAGTTCTGCGGCATTTGGCAAGACCGTCCAAGGCATGGCTGCCTGGATCGGCCTGCGGGCCATCTGACCCGAGCCAAAAAACAAACTATTGTTCTTGGGGCGCGCAGGCGCCCAGCGTCCGGAGGGGTGAGTGAACCGAAAAAGGGTACCAAGACATGCGATCTAACAATCCGCTGGCCACCAGAAACCATGTGTTGGTATCCCAAGATCTTGATCCTCACCAAGCATTCGCGCGAATCTGGTGCTCTCACCCCGGCCGGCCAAAAAACTCGGATGCAAGTCATGTGAATTGAGCATTGAATTCGTTGAGCGCTCTAGTTCCAAGTGGTGCACTTTGGGATTCGGTTGCGTCGGATCACGGGAAGGCGGTTGTCATGTGCCTTCGGTCGCCTCTCGTACTCCGTCTCGTGGGCCTCACGTTGACGCCTGGCCGCCTCGGCCCAATGGCCTGAGTGGTTTTGGGCCTCTTCGGCCACCTCCAGGGCCATATCCTGCGAGCACAGGTTGCTCATGGGCGAGAGCAAAAACGACTACAGTCCCTCAGACCCACTAGAATAGGTTCCGAAATGGGTGGTGAGTTCACCTACCAAAGTGGTAGCATTGGTTTTGACCCACGGCCTAAATGACTACACTCCCTCAGACTAACAGCCGGAAGCTCCCAGAAGGCCGCTTGCAAATGGAACCAAGTCTTCCAACCAGGGTGGGAGCTTCCATCTTTGTCTGGAGGGTAAGAAGCAAAATAAGCAGACAGCGAGTCAGCCAAAACCCGCGCCAAATTCGCTGATTTCCCCCCCTGAGACCCGGCCCTGCCGATCCGAAAGCTCCGAAGCTGCGCAGATCTGCGCGCCTCCAGCTGCTCGGCCCTGCAGCGGATGGCGCGAAGCGCGGCCTCCTGACGGCCGCCCAGCGTGGCCACCATCGCCTCGAGTCGACGAGTCGAGGGCCCTCCCTTTTACATGGCAGCTGACAGAAGGTCCCTCTAAGAGGAACCTGTGTCTGCCAAGGGGTCCCTCAGGTTCCATTTTCATTGGGAGCAAATGGAGTGCCGGAATATGGCCGTGGTTGTCAAAACCAATGAAAAGTCCTGACAAGGTCATGGTCCTCACAAGTTTGGCCAGCGCGCCCTGTGTCCAAAGCAAAAGCCCTCCTTCCCCGAACCTTTTTGCCAAAGGACCCATCGCACAGTGGATAAGATAACCACGGCTTGCGGCCTAGTTTTTCTTTGGCTTTCTCTCTTCTTCCTTGGCTTTGCCCATTGGATCTTTATTGGTTTTCCATTGCTTTGCCCGTTTTGCCGGACCTCCGCGTATCTGCCGAAAAACAGACAGACCCTGCGCAATGTCTGTGTCTGGCCTTGCCTGGCCCCACACAAACGAAGGGGAAGGAAAAAAAGAGGCAAAAGATCTAGGGGACACTTCCCCATTCTTTCCAGGGATCCTTCTTTTCAGAAAGCCATCAACAAACCCAGGGAAACAGATCCGGTTTTTGAAAATAACGATGGTTGAAAAGATCTGAAAAGAATGGACAAGGAATCAAGCCCTAGAAAAGCTAAGTCTGAGCAATTCGGCACTGCCTCCGCGCGGGGAGCCCTCACTCCGGTCCCTGGGTAGCTTTCCTGCGGCGAGCCGCTCGCAGCTTCGGCAGAAACTCGTCGTCCGCTTCCATGTCTTCAGGCGCCACAAGGGGACTGAGCCTAAGTGGAACTGCAGGAGGCATGGTAAAACCCAAGCCTTTGGCACCGTATGCTGTCACAGCTCTTGCAAGCCCAAAGTTGTTTGGACACCACCCATGGGTGCCATCGTTGCCCCTGTGATCCCCTGTGAGGCTGGAACCTAGTTTGAAGGATTGAAGCGTTTTCGATGGGAATTACGCAGCTTGCTCACTGAGAACTTGACGCCCAATACTCACAAACCTTGCCGTGAAAGTGCAGTTCAGAGTGGGGGGGAGACCGATGTCCATCAGGACATGTCAAGAAAGCCCATTTTAGGCGGGTGTACGCGTGGACATGCGGGCGTGTACGCGTGGACAAGGATAGAGCGCTTTTTTTTCCCTCAAAAGAAAGACGAACCTTGATCTCACGTGACTGGGTCCCCAAGATAGGCCGCCAGTGTTTACCATGGTTGCTTCCCTTCCGCTCTTTTTACCGCCTTCTTGGCACCTGCCAAAAGGTGTGCTCGATGCTTTTTCCAGGCAACATGCCCTGACCGGGTTCCGGGTTCCGGGTTTGCACCAAGGCGCAAAGGCAGCTGCAAAGGGCTCTGCCCCGCGCCTAGGACCTGCACTCGGCACACTAGACCCTGAGAATTCTGTGAATTGCCCACTGTGATACCCAAGGAAGGCCTTCCAAATGATGAAAATCCTCTAGAAGAGGAGCTGCTCTGGTGAGGCAATCCCATTTTGCACACATGTGTTTTTTCACACACACACACACCCCGCCAAAAAAAAAAAAAAAAAAAAAAAAAACTACAAACAAACTGGACAAGCTCATGTCCTCTCCCCAAGAGGAGAGGGAAACAAAAACGAGGTAAAACCAACACAGCAAAAAAAAAAAAAACAAAAACACGACCAAAGCCTCGCCCCTCTCAGACTCTCCGCGCCTGGCAGTCCCAAAGGGCACGGCGGATGGGCCCCGTCTCCTGGTTGGGCCGGAAGCCGAAGGCCACCAAATACCTCTCTGGGCCCGCCACGCGCGAGGCCATGGGCTTCACCACGCGCACCTCCTGGCGAGGACTAAGTCAAGGCCATGCGGCTTTAAAGGGGTTGCTGGATGTGGCTGGGCTCTCCAGTTTTTCCTTAGATGCCCAGGGGCACCCTTTTTTGCGGGTTGAGTTTTTTTTGGGAACCCGTACCCAAAAAACAGAGGAAAAAAAAGGGGCACCACTGGGCAACAGAGTTTCGATCTGCGAAAGGTGAACAAAAAACTTCTAGTGGCTTAGGTTCCAACTTAAAACCTAGAAACCTAAGAGGATGAGTGGGAGCCGATCTGCTAGCAGTCAGCTTAACTTTGAAGGGGGTTGGGCAAAGGATAATCTACAGGAAATGGCCCCAAAACACCATAAACAAGATGTTTTCCGTAGAATTTCCCGTAGCCCAACCCTTTTTTCTTTCAGTGGCTTAGTGGGAACTACTGCTAAACCAACTGAGAACCTTTTTGACTTTGGAGGCTGTGTAGCTTGCAAATTCCATCCACCCGCAGTAAAACCTAAAACTGAAGAGGATGGCTGGGAACTAAGTTTAGGATCGCCTGGGCCAAAAAGGTTTAGGATCCCCTACCTCAATCGTACCTCAATCAGACCTGCCTCAAGTCCTGGTTACATTCCAGTAGGAGAGCTCTTGGCTCGTCCGTGGGGTGGCTCCAAAGCGACAGTTGCCAGGTCCTTTTTTTCCCTCGAGAACCCTCACTTCACCTGCAGCATCGATATCAGCCTCCCTTCATCGGAGAAAGGGGCTCAGCCGGGCTTATTCACATCCAAAAGGCCCGGCGCTCAGTGCAGAAGCCATGGAGGCAACCTCCATCCGCAAACTTGGAAACAGCGGCGGAAGTTGGAACCGCTATGCCACCAAACTACACCAAACACCGATTTGTTTGCGCACGGAGTAAGAAACAAGCCAGGAACACAAAGAATAGATTGAATGAGTGCCCCATCTTCATCACCAGGCCTAAACTTTGCACAGATTCTCTACAGGGGTCACTGTTGAATCTCATTGGCGGTGATCAATCCAAACTGCAACGAGGGGCAATTCAGCAAACCGGAGTCAACCGCTTCAAACTCGCTTTCTCAGCCCTCCCCGCCCCCCCAGCCAAAATTAAAAAGAAGAACGTTTCAAAATCGCTTTCCCAGCCCCTTCCCCCCCCCGCCGCCCCCAGCCAAAAAAATGCAGAGGCCACGTGCACTTTCCCAGCCCTCCCCTGCCCCCCCAGCAAAAAAAATGAAGAGGCCACGCGCACATCACGGCCGGACAAATTCCGCCGCTCGCCTGGAACAGGCGGGTGGTGAGGTAGAGCAAGGCCGAGGTGGCGCTGGAGAAGGAGCCTCGGTTGCCTTCTGCTCCCCTGCAAAAAGTGTTTAACTTTTCGTTGTTTAATACATAAAACCCATCTAAAAGCTGGCACAAAGTCAAAGCCCTAACATCCAAGCAATGTTTTACTTTTAGCTGTTTGCTGGAAAACCCTAAAAGTTGGCAAAAAGTCCTCAAGTCCCATCCCTTGGCAACATGCGCCAAAGGAGCTGTAGAGCTTGCAGATGAAGCGCCCCCCCGGCAGCAGGCAGCTGGTAGCCAGCAACAGCTCTGCCAGGAGCAGGCGGTAGAAGTAGAGCCTACGGGTGTCTCAGCACAGGGAACTCCCCCCCCCCGGCATAAAAATGGGTGTTGTCCTTTTGGGTTTCCTTTAAAAAACTAACCCAACAAGGGGGTACCCTCCAAAAAACATCGTTTCCACCTGTTTGAAGTCAACCTGAGGTGAAACAAGCCATCTCCAATGTGTGAGCGTTGCATTGTTGGCTCAATTCTGTATGCCTGAGAAAGCCGCTGAGAAATGGCAAGTCGGATCGCCATGTCTAGGACGATAACCTGGTTGATCATGGAAGCAGGGGAAATGTCTACAACATAGAACTGGGCATCGCTCTAGCTCAAGCAGGGCCCCCTAAACGCGCATCGGAGCTTGCGACCCCCCCCCCCCCCCAAACCAAAACAACACATGCCGTCGCCCTTGCCTCTGAATTAATGTGTGGCATCCTCAACTCGTCACATTGGTATTGACTAATATAGTTGGGACAGCCCCATGAAGAACAATCATAAGAGCTCCAGAATAGGGGCCTGAAGGGGGAAGTATGCCTTGATTGGTTGGTCACAAGCCCCTTTTGGAAGACGTAGGCAACGATGATGGACATTCGCATGAGTCATCATCAAAACCGATGCGTACTACAATGGTCTATCCAGAACCATGTAAAGAAAGAACAAGGCGGCTGCACCCATTTATGGTTGACACTGACCGGGTTTTGATCGTGGCTCGCATGGGGATTTCTGTCCATCCCTTTGAGGTCTAAATTGCAGCCCCAGGATCTCCAGCAGATTCGGGGGGATGGCCTTGTCCTCAGTTGCGCATTTCTGAACCTTCTTCCCACGGCCGAGTGCAAGCCCTTGGTCATCTGGCACACAACGACCAACCACAAGAACCACTTTGTGCTGCGGGTGCTCTTTGAGAAGGGGTGGCCCCTTACCTCACTTGACAAAAACAAAAAGTTCAAGTGTTTTATTTACCACCAAAACGGTCTTTCCCAAAAGGCTTAAAGTCCCAGGAACTCAGGACGCGAGTTACGGCGATAAACCATGCCGAGCGCATGCTTGACACCGTCGCAATGTCAAGGTCAGTGGTGCCCTTGTCATCGATCGACCGGTTGGCCCTCAGACCATATAAGACTCCGAGGGTCGCTGAAGCCGCCGTCCGCCACGCAGAGGAACACGCCCTTGGCGGCACAGAGCATCTGCGTGGCGTGCTGCAGGTTCTCGGGCTTCAGAAGGTCACCCGTGCCATCCGCACCCCAAAGCGCCTCGCAGGGATGGCGCTTTAAGCCTCCCCCAAAGGCAGGTGGCCCAAAAAAATGACCCCCCCCCCAGTTTTGAATCGCCACTTATTTGTTTGTTCCTGTGTTGCTTCCTTTTCGAAAGAACCTCTCAGTGCCGTTGTAGGGGAAAAAGCAAAAGCTTCACCCATCTTTCGCAGCCCACAGACCTGCCAGGAGGGGTGCTGCATCAAGTCTGGGTACCAGTCATCCTTCTGCTCCGCCTGACCAGCGACCAAAGCTCCCCTTGGTTTGTTGGTTGACGTTGGAAGGGGAGCAAAGATTGAAACAAAAATAGCAGTTAAGTGCGGATTTCAAGCACTAAACCACACTAAGCAAGCACGTAAAATGTGTCCCATCGAATATGAAGTGTTCGTTGCTTTGGATCCCGGTGGCTTTGTGAATTGGAGTGTCCGATTTACCCTCCGGGTTCCTTTCCCCACCAATCCAAGACACCAACTAAGGGCTGCCTGATGGGCCTAATGCCAAAACAACATGCATCATTCATGCTCACCGCCGCGGCACAAAGCCGGGGGGGGGGGGGGGGGAGAAAACCTTGCTGCGAAACATGCCAGGCGTGCATGCTACTGAGCTTTTCCTTCAGCAAGCTTTTCCTGCCTTGTCCCAAGAGTTGTCACCTGATGTACCCTGCAAAACAACCATGCCCTATCCTACAACTTCCTTTTCAACGCCTCCTTTCCCTGCCATCTGCCCCCAAGGCCTTCTGCCGTGCAAGGCCCATGAGTGGTTTGTGGACTCGGTTGCTTTCTGCTCCCCTGCTAAAAGATTAACTGTTGGTGGTTTGACACGGAAAACCAATCTAAAAGTTGGCAAAAAGTTCTCAAGTCCCAACATCCCTTGGCAACATGCACCAACGTTTAGAAAGTCTGGGAAAGACGACACAAAAGACCACCAAGCAACTCCCTGGTCGCTCCGGAATTCTAGGATCCAACTCCTGCAACATGTGCCAAAGTGGTGTACAGTATGCGGATCGCGTGTGTGGCGCGTGTTGGCGTGTGAGCGCTTCAGCTCGCCTGCCAGTCCTCCTCCGTGCCCTGGCCGCTGCGCAGCGTGAGCCCGAAGCCCGCGAGGCCTTTGGCCAGCAGAAACTGGGACCAGGCCCCTGGGCCCCCGCAGAGGTCCAGGAAGAGGCACCCTTCCGGCAGATCCTCCAGCAGCCCGCTGGCAGACACCAGCTCCTGGTGGCTTGCTGGACTTTACACTTTTGGGAAGACCATCTCAGTGGCTTAGATCCACTCGATCGGAAGTGAGCTAAACATCACCCCACCCGCAGCCCAAGGCCTGCCAAGCAGGTTGGTTTGGTCAGGCACCTCCCCTTTGGCCTGAGCCTTGGTGGGGGCAACAACGCTGACCTTCCAGCCTGCAAGGGCTCCAGGGCCCTTGTTTGGGCTACAGGGCGGACGGAATACACGAACACCGCACGACTCGCACGACATACGATGTGAGGAAGAGGGCGGGGGAGTAGACAAGGACCTGGGCAACTTTCCAGAAATGAAACAAACGAGTTCGAACAACAAGTGTGGTCCAGTGCCAAGAAGAAAACGCTGACGTTCATAGGCAGAAGGCCCGAAGGCTGCGGGTTGAGGCCACCTGAAAAAATCAGCCGGCTCCTGTGGCTCGATTCCAGCGAGGGAAGCTCCAAGGATTTGACGCGGATCCAACCGGACAATGAGGCATGCCTATGAAAATGATAGACTCACCGTCATAGGTGAGGCCGCAACTCGCAACCCTGAGGTCGCCAGAAACTCTTCAGGATTATTGAACTTCACGCCACAGCACCGGACCAATGGATCAACCGTACCCAAGCAAACGCAAGCACAAGAAAACGCGTAACAACAAACGTAACCCCAAAGGCAACTTCTTCCGGCGGCAACAAAAAAGTTGGCCTTCCCAAAATGGCCCGAACACGCGCGCGGCAGGGTGGGCACGAATGGCTTGGCTCCTCCAGCTTCTCGCCTGCCCGGTTCTCATGGTCTTTGCCCTCCTTCCCAGAGTGCGGGAAGAGCTGATCCCGGGCCACCCTTTGCCTCAGGCGCGCGCGCGCGCGCAGGTCCTAACCCACGGTGCGACGGTGATGGCTCGAATTTGAGGCCCAACCGTCATTCCAACCGCATCCAATCACAAGGCCCTGTTCTAGATGGTCAGATGGGATGAAATGACAGGATTCCCTCATTCCCTTGCTGTTTAAGTTTGGGGTTTCCAACTCAAAGTTGCGGGAGCTGTGGATGAAATGGAAGCCCTAAGCGAGTCAAACAAGAAAATATGGCACTCCAGTTGGTACCAGGGCTTGTCCGCTTATGTGCAGCCTTCACCCCGTACCTTCCAACTCCATCTTGATTCACTTGCGAAGTGCTTACCATTATGGTCTCGCTAGCTTTGAGACCCAAAGCCAAGATCTCCAACTCATTGCATCGTCCAACCACCAACTCCCCACTGATCTGACACTGAGAGCTTGCTGTGCGCTGATCGTGTGAGCTCCTCAGCATGACAACTAAGGCGTGATCAAGATTCCCGGCCCCAAAATCACCATGGACACTTTTCCCAATGAGTGGCGAAAGTCATCTTGCTGGGTGGATTCCCTAATCGCATGAGGACCTTTTGGCCAACCCCCAACTCTCCGGATTTCGAGTGGCATGACGGAGCGTGCCTTGGGTGGCGGGGGCTTGTTCCACAGCTCGTCCAACTGCGCCTTGGCCTCAGGGATTGGCCTGGATTGAACCCCCCTCCCCACCAAAGGACATGGAACCTGACCTTCAGGGGGTCCAGGTGTTTTCCTGGCCAACCAGCCAACCACCTAGCCAGCCACTCACCCAGAAACTCACCCCCAGCCAACCACCCAACCAGAAACTCGCCCCCACCTACCCAGCCGCACACCCAGAAACTCGCCCCCACCCAGAAACCTGCCCCCAGCCTCCCAAAGCTTCAGCAGCAGATCTTCTTCTCCGTGGACACCCTTCAGCAGCTGCGCCTTGCTGGGCTTTACCACCTGGCACTTCGCCAGGCTTTTTGGCGTCTCGACGACGCGACCCCCCCCCAAAAAAAAAAAAACAAGAAAAGAAGGTAAGGGCATGAAAGGGCCGGTTGGCACACAGGTTCCTTCTGGAGGAAAAAGGGGGAAACCCCTTCTGTTTTCTGCTTTCTTTTTTTGATTGATTTTTGTTTTTGTTTTTTAGTTGGGGGGGGGGGGGAGGGCAGTACAAAGCGAACCACAGTACCCCGGCTTGAGAAACACGCACACTCCTAGGCCTTCCAAGCATTACCCATACAAAAAAACATGTGGACAATACAGGCAAAGATGTGCCTTTTGTGGACACACCGGAAGAGCACTGCAAATTCGAAAAGAAGTACCAATCAGGGAAGGACAAAGCAAATCCGCAAAACACGCATCCCAACCGTGTTCTACATGCAAGCAGCAGCTAGTCACAGCTACGGCTGGTCACAGCTGGTCATGTGGAAGATTGCCCTTTCTGCGAAGCCCCAAAGTGGTTGGTTCCCATCCCTACTGTGGAAATCCTGCACCACCTAACACATCCCAAGAAATCCCGGAATGATGAGTCCCCTGCAAATGACAACGAACAATGGTTCTCCAAGTGGGGCAGGATTTTGTCACTTTGAAGGCAAAACGTGCACGGCAGGGGTGCTTAAGAGATTGTGATTCGGGCACGAGCCTGTGCCCAGGCAATGGGTAAGTTGGGGTAAACAAGCCACAAAAGAAAGGTTCCCCAAAAGCAAACCAATCCCCGGTCCCAAAGATCAGGGTTTCCCACACACCAGAGAACAACAACCAAAGGAAAACAAACCAAACAAGAAAAGGGTTAACCCGCAACCTTGGTCGACAACAGGCCGCACGACTGGTCCCTACCAACCTGGCGGCGGCCCGAGGTCTCTTTCTCCCCCGAGATGCCGTCGGTCGACGCAGGGGTTCGGCGACGCCCATTCGAGGCGCGACGGAACCCAAAACTTGAGCCAAACACCACAGGTCAGTCACTACCGCGACATCCCTGGTGATGAAATAAACCATGGCTAATCACACCCCCCTCACGAGGAGCCCGTCATATGACGGGTGGAGCGTGCCATTTACTGATAGGATTTAACTGCTCGCATACGTCCGCAAACAGCTGGACACTACCGCCGTCAGCGGTGGAGCAAACCCACAAAGGCAGTCGCGCGACATCCCGGGCATTAAATTCCCGCCACCACCCCGAATTAATCGGGGTAACGCTATCCAACATACCTTGTGGAAAAGTCCACATGACGACAATGGGTCACAACTGTTTGCATCAGAAATGCAAGAAGTTTAATTCTTATCAGAAGCCATGAAATAAAAGATAACGTATGTCCATTAGTACCCTCGCCTAACGGCAAGAGGTACTCCTGACCATGCGTACCTGAAAAATGCCTGAATTCCGCAAACCCGGGAGTAACCCCCCATCAGTTTGCTTTCCCTCTCACTCACACTGCTTCCGGATGAACACGTCCAGCAGCTCAGCAGCGGTACGGGAGAGACATGACCTCCGCGCCTCAGCGGTCCGGGAGGAACATCACCACCTCCGCACCGCGCTGACCATGGAGAACGGACGCAAGCCTATCGGCCGCAATCCTCGTGACTCAGCCTATCGGCTATCGTCACGTCTCCTCCGGTCACGTCCGCCCCGCGCACGGTCCCTATCACGATCCCTTTCGGATCTCCTGCGATCATCTCGCCTTCGATCCCGCTCCCGATCGAGTGAATCATCATCACGACGATCACGAGCATCGTCCCTCCTCCTGTCGCGATCATCCTCGCGCCGCGGACGATATCTGCGCCTCCTCGACTCTCTGGAATCCCTGGTGTCCACGGTCCTAACGGACCTCCGAGAAGGAGTACGGGAAACATCCGACTCCCTACGCCTCCTCCCAGATTGAGAGTTCGTCACGATCTGGTTGAGAGCTTCCAGTGCCGACGCGTCCTCACCATTTCTGATGAAATCCCTAACCTGCTTGTTCAGCACTCTGTTGGTGGAGATCGTCAAGAAAGCGTCCACCACCGAACTCTCAGGCAGCACCAGGAAGTGACCCTCCACCGGGCTCGCCGCGGCCCGCTCAGCAGACTGCAGCCGGATCTCCCCGCCTTCAGGCTTCTTTGCCATCGCCTTGGAGGCAGTCAAAGGCGCTACCGCATCCTTTGCCGAAGATCTGCCAAGCGCGGAGTGAAGATCATCCCCGCTAGCTTCTCTCGCTGCCGCACCTGGTCTGCTGTCGACGTCGCCAGGCCTCGTGGATGCCTCCCGCTTTGTCGACTCCTTCGCAGCCTCGTCGGGATCCCAACGGGACTTCCTTTCTCTCTTCTGCCCTTCGGCCGACCCGCGGCTACCGCCGGGAGCGTCACCTCCGCCTGTCTTCTCCTTCTTGACCTCAACCTTCGGTTCGGCCTGCTTCGTCTCCTTAGCCACAGCTTTTGGAGCCGGAGCACTCCTCGCCTCAGATGCCGAAGCAGCCTTCCCTTTCGGCTCTGCCTTGGGAACCGGGGTCACTTTAGCCTTGGCACTCGGCCTGGCCCCTTCAACCACCATCTCGGCCCAAGACTTCTTCGGCTGAGCTGCTGCTGCATCAACCTCCATCGGAGCAGGTCCAGCGTCATCCTTCGCCTTTGGGACGGATGGGCTACCGCCCTTACCGGATCCTTTACCCGGCACTTCACCTGACTTTGGTGGCGGGCCGGAAGGGCTACCGCCCTTACCGCCCTTTTCCCCCTTCTTCCCTTTTCCTTTTCCGCCCTTGGGGACCGGTTCCTGCTTGGGACCAGGACTCGGCGCAGCATGATGCACTGATTGGAGTCCCTCGATGTCCACGTTCAATGGTTCGGGTTGACGACCGTCAAGAACCGTCCTCACCCTTTCGTCGCTAACGTAGACGAATGGGTCACGGAATGGTGCGGGAGGCTCCGACTGTCCGGCATTGATCGCCTTCTGCACCTTGGCTATCGCCTCCTTCAACCTCTTCTTCTCATCATACCCTGTCTCCGATACCATGTACTCCCTGAGCTGCGACATCAACGCATGACTCTCCAGGATGTCCACGTCCTTTCGATGGGTCGGGTACAATGGGGTCAGATGACCAGCCGCAGAACCAATCACGTATGCCATCGGGATATAGAATGACAAGTACGTGTCATGACGAGCGAACTTCCTAACGGAAGTCGTCATACGCCTACCCCACTGCGCAGCGTGTCTTGGATTGGCTCGGAAATACTCCGTGACCGACTCAAATCTATCGACTTGGTTGGTCTTGATCAGGTGCTTCGCCACCCACTTCTCCACAAACGCATCCGAGGCCGAAATCCCAGACACATAGGAGAATTGGAAGAGCACCTTCGCCAGCTCATCCCACGCCGCATCGACACCTCCCTTGTCTTCACCAAGATAAGGGGGAAGTCTGATGCCGCTCTGCACCGTCATCCTTAGATCGGATGCCATCGAATAGGAAATCAAATTCCTCTTGATGACTCCGACCACTTCGGAGGGAATCCTCCTGGGCTTGAACTGCCCCATGGTCCTCACCCACTCCGGCACGATGTGGCACGTTTCGAAGTCCTTTTCCTCCGCGTTGGGGATAAAGTTCGGGTAAAAGACCGGGAGCGCGCACCCGGGACACAAGTGCATCCCATTCGGCATCAATTCCGCGCACCTCAAGCAGAACGTGGCAGTCACATTCAGCCTGATCTCTTCCCGTGATCGCTTGTGCTCTCCCCTAACGGGGGTGAAGTCACCGTAGTCCCATGCCCGGTGGTACACTATCGTGTAATCATCGTACATATACGCCGCCTTCCAAGCCCCCATGTGGATCTCGTTCCTAACGGCAAGAGTCTTCCTTCTCGTCAAAAACACGGGTCCAACCAAGGACCAGTGCACCCGAAGATCCACCATTACCACCACGTACCTACCGGAGTAGTTCCGCAGCCTGTCCCTGACATACCACGAAGGCGATACCTCAGCATCCGGCGCCATGGCTCCCACAAGTGGGATCAGGCCCTCATCCTGCCTACCATCCCCAATGGTCTCGTACACATCGGGCCTCGTGATCAATATCTCGATCATGGCCTTTCCATTTCGCCTCACCCTTTGGAGCTGAACCGCCTTCCGAAAGTCCGAGAACTTCATGATGACGTATCCCACCATGGGGAGTTCATTCCAATGCATCTCATACATCAGAGATCCGCCAGGTGCATCTTCCTGAGTATACCTGTGCCTAACGGCACTGTAACTCAAGTCGCGTCCGATCCGCGTGTGCCTAACGGCAACCAACCTGGTGCTCTCCTTGAGGAGAACGCCATCCCCGTCGTACATGACCATGAGCATCGCCTCCACTTGCCCTATCGGGAAAGCTTTAAGCGTCGGAATGAAGAACTTCCAAGACATCTCAGCGTTCTCCATACCCGAAATCTCCTTCAGGAACCAGATGGCCTGGTCACTTTTCACCCAGTTTCCAGCCTCGCGTCCGGTCTCCTTCAGCACACGTTCCTCGAATAACTCCGAGACTCTCTTTGAATTGATGACCAAGCCGTCGAAATCGCACGAGAGCAGTCTCATCAACTCCTTCGCCGCCTCCCGTCCTGCAACAGTGCCCACTGTCTCCTCGTAGTTCGGGAGGTATTCACCCAACCTCGTCTTCGAGGGAACCACAATCTGGCAAGTGACGGCCTCATCAGGGATAACTCCCGTTTCCCTTAACTCTGGATTGATCTCTCGCCTATCGGCAAGATAATCCTCCTTCCCATCCAGTATCACAAGATTGTAGGTCATCTTGCTCGCCGCCCCACTAGGCCTGAACTTCCTGCTATCATCCAGCTGGTCAGGAGCAAAGGGTCCACTAGGGGCAGCTGCACTCACCAGAGGCGCTCCTCGCCCAGAGCAGAGGTGCTTCTTGTGGAAGTTCACCATCTGATTCAGCTGCGATAGTGCGTAGGCACGATCCTCCAATGACGCACTCTTCATCCCAGCCTCAGTC